TGAATCCCATAAGCCGGAACCGCAGCTTAGCGCAAGGTTACATACACAGAAATGTGATCTATCAGACGCTGGCTTGTTCTGATAGAGGGATATATCCCGACACTAATGATATATGCCAAGAAATAATGGGCCAATCGGTGCCGTGAATGACTCGAATGCACTAACACCTTTAGTCTGCCACGTGGAGAAGACTATTCAGATGAGCAATTTGACTCAATAGAATATATTTTTGTTGTTTAGAGGTATGAATCGTGTTATTAGTTCTTGAGGGAAATATGAGGCTCTATATACAACATAGAGCCAAGTTGATTGTAAATTGACAGAAATGGTCTGTACAGCAGGGGGAATACGATAGGCTTTACCAGCCCATTAGAGCAGCGAAATCAAAAGGGATCATGTATTGATATCATAAAGAGAGTGTTGATTCTGATCTTCTGAACTACTGGGTTTCATGGGGGTTGAAATATCCATGAGACTACCAACGACTCGGTGGTTGCACATCCGAGGTGGTGCCACGAGGAACAGGCGACTTAGCCGCGTTAGACGAAGAGGGTGTCGTAAGATTGTACATGATGAGTTAGTACAGTGCCAATGGTAATTTTTCTGACATAAATCAACTTGATTGTCTTTATAGACATCTCGGAGCTAATTCCGATGGCGCGGCTTGCTCCCTGATCTGTACAGCCTCATCTCACAATATATTCCCTTGTTCTCCCGCCTGATCTTAATGTACCAATCTTTCTTTTCTTACGCTTCTAGAAATTTTGTGGATTGACAGATGGCTTCAGCACAACAGCTATAGAATTACTGCTATGCTCGACCGTGATATTGTAATCATCTGAAGTTATAAAAATCTCCTGTGTCAAGCTAAAGACAGGGAATGGAGCTAAGCGGGCTGGCATTGTAGGATCGCAGCTCTCCACGGATTGTCTTTCACCAGGCTCCTTAATATACAATCATTATTTTGTGGCGTAAATCCAGCCTACATGAAAAAGCCACAACCGAGCTTTACAGCCATTTCACCCCCCTTCTCCACTTACAAACTCTTTTCATTGGAGCCAATGATATGATTGATTCATCATTGACAATTTGAATTTCCTGATCCTTTGAAATGACCTAATCTGGTTCAGCCAATGTACATAAAGCCATTCATTGCACTTTACGTAATAGACTGGCTGTATATCGCCCGCATTATACAAATGATGAGCTGAATCTAATCTGTGTCAGCTCTCTCATAATATAAGTTCTCATGGTGGAAAAATACCTCAAGAATAATTTCCTAATTTCTTAAAATCGCGCCAAGCATAGCGGCTCCTAGTAATATAAGACCCATATTTGATAAATGGGTCAAAATAACATATAGCTTCTTCCGGCCCTGCGTGGCACCTTTTACTAACCATAGGCACCATGCCATTTCACTGAGATGATCCAAGAAAAGTAGGAAGGGAGTGATGAAATAAATGTTACCTAGCATGAATGTCCCAATGAATATAATTATTACCTTTAAGACCGTAGATGTCAAAGTATAGATTCTGAATACGACACGCGTCGATCGTTTTATGAATGGATTATTGAGCTGCTGAAAACCAAAGCGGAGAAACTAGAACAGTGTTAGTATAGAATTGGCATTTCTCAAGCTAGAACGAACATTTCGTATAGAAGAAATTGTTGAAAGAATTCCAAGAAGGATTTTAATCCATATCGATGGCTTCTCGCTCCAGAACAGCCCTGCCAATACAGCGGACAGGAGAAAGGATAAGACGTATAGCGACAAGTCCATCTTATAAAGTGGCCAATTATCTCCGAACACCCACAAAAGAAGTGACCTGGCAATCAATGCAAATAAAAGCATTGTGATCAGTAGCGCTTGGAGGGATAGTGCGGAAGCCATGACAAACGAAATCGAAATAGATGTATCACGGTGAGAAGAGGGCATCGATGGTGAGATAAAGATCATCAAATAAGGCAACGCTTCATTAAACGCCAGGAGAGGCTTAAAATACCCCAGGAGGAGGCAAGTCGTCATTCCTTGCCCATAGAATATTTGCCTCACTATCAGCTTTGAGCTTACACAAGGCAATATTTACATCGAGCTCCTGAGAACTATGTTAAAAATATAACAGGAACTGGCATGCAGTATACACGATTTGTACAGGGTACGGCCCCACATAGCTCATCTCCACTACTCTGAACAAGAAGAAGCTAATTTTCTTCTGTTTGCTCGCGCTAAGTCTTATGTCTAAGATCAGCTTGTGGTTTCCTACTCTTGGTTGTTAATACCCTGAAAAACACAATCCGCATCTACAGATACGTTAGCCCTTGACAGCTAGGTTCCTAGGAGCAGGCCGCTTGCTCCACGGAATCAATTACTTCTGAGGGCTTCAGAGGTCTATAGTATAATGTGATGAACTCTAAAGAAATTGGCTACCGGATTAGCCCAACTATGGAAGCTCACGCATACGAATATGTGAATGCAGATCAAATATTCTCGAGATCAAATCTGCTCGCAACAAAGTCTCGCTAATTCAAATTATCAGTGCCGAATCAATTATACTGTAATGTTGGTCCCAATGACGTGGGTAGTAAGTGGAGAAGGAGGAGTGTGAAATGGCTGTAAGGCTTGGTTGTGGCTTTCTCATGTGGTCGAAATTTGAATTTAACAAAGAATGATTGTATATTAAGAGTGACTATCCAGAGACAAGCCGTGTGGAGCTGCGATCCTACATTATCAGCCCGCTTGCTTCGATCTCCGTCGAAGGCCTGACACGGGGGAATGAAGGTAACTTCAGATTCTTACAATGTCTCGACCGATTCAAGCTGCAATTCCATAGGTGCTGTGCTGATGTCATTTTTCAACTTTCCAAAGCTCCTGAGAATGTAAGGGAAGGAGACTTGGCAAGAACAGGCGAGAGAACAATGGACTCTTGTGAAATCGGGGTTGTCCAGGTCAGTACCACGCTATATTATAGCTTGTATCGGCTTGAAGCTTTTTAGAAAGGTCTGATAAGCTTACTCTTATATTATTAGGTAGACACCAACACTGAAATGAACATGACCAATTCTGCGGTGGGGCTGGTAGGTACATAGCCAAGGTGCAAAATAACCGAATGTTAGTATGATTTCGATGGGGCTTTCTTTGAGTAGAGTAACACGCTCATCATCGGTGAGTAAAATGAAATGAATGGCATGGCCTGTTGCCACCAAACCCGTCACAATAACATACGGACCCATGGGGTGAATGTTGAAACGCGTCATCGATGCTTTTCTGCGGCATCCCTACAACGGTTTAAACGGTGCCAACAATAAGAAAAAGAAATTCATATGCTGGATCATCAGGAAAAAGTACAATGCCTCCGAGTGCTGCATTAGATCAATGACGAAATGTTGAACCAGCTGCAAATGAAAGGTCGTCTGTGTTTGTGCCCTCAGAGTTCACAGCGATCATTGCATCGACGCAAGCCGAATTACCGGCTGCAATGCTATAAATACCCGATCGCTCGCTAGCAGAACAGTCGTTCACAAGCATTCCTTTGTCATTCTGGTTCAATAAATATCGGACGCTTTTAGTCTCTGCAGGCTACTCTTTGATATGGACTGACCCCGAATTGTCATGCAATTGTGGTACTAGCGCATACTGCCTCTCCCGGAACCGACACATAATTATCATTTATTGGTGACCTCACGCAGTCAAGAGTACAAGGAGATAGTAGTTTGGCCGTAACGGGTCACCTGTGGCTGCGGTCTTAGACCGTAGCGTCAAATAGGGTCCCATCTGCGTTCCCTAGTAGGGAGGCAATGTGTCTGTATTGCAGAGGTTTCCATGTACAGAGGGAAGGTGGGAGGGAAAAAATCAACTCTTGAGTCTTGACTGCGTGAGCCATGACGAGATAGCTATAGGGGAAAGCAACTGACTCTCGTGATGCAGTTGCACGAGGGAAGCCGTCAGTAATGTCGGTATATATATCACGTGAGGCGACCCCAATAAATGATATGTTCTATTCGGGATTGTTGCGGAGAGCCCCTCCCCCCGAACATCGCCGTTTCGAAGGAGAGTTGGGCTCTCTCCGCAGCGGTTTCTTCCCGCCCACCGCAGAACCCCTCATGTATGTACTAAGTATGCTTCCGCATAGCTTTGCTTCCTCCTGAAATATACGGAGTGCTACGGGCCCGCCTGCAGCCCTCGCGGCGCTGTAATCTTCTGTCAAGGAGACCTACATCACCATGTTCAGACTGCAGGTGCCCCGTACGGGCCAAAAATATCTCACGCGTCTCCATTGTAGCAATGTAGCAATGGTTGGAATAGATGTTGTATTTAGTAACGTGATTGTAATATTCGGTAGATAGATTGTCCGAGCTACCATACAAAATCGTATGGTAACAGAGACATTCACAATTAAGACTCCTTGCCATCTCATTCGTGTATGCTACTTAGGCCCACAGCTGCTCCGACAGAGGAGCAGCTGACAAATATTAATATCAGACAGGGGAAGACCGCGATCGAAAGCGTCAAGGCAGCAGCTGAGACGAGCCGATCTAGCCTTGGTATTGTTTGGAGCTTCATTGTTCTAGAATATATTTCATATACAAGAGATGACCAAGAGGATGAGTATTTGACAGTTTGATAGAGAATATACTTATACTTTGCTGATCTTAAAACCTTTCACTTTCTATCATAGGCGGATTCAATGTGAGGTAAGTCTCTAAATATCTCATTGTCGGCGGTTTGTGACTCTAGAGTCACAGTATTGACTGTTCACAGTACAAAATTGTACTTCCAGCGATCAGAAAATGGTAGGCATCTGAAAAATTAGCATGACAGTTTTATAGTTGAAGGTATGTGGCAACTTTGTGCCAAATATATGAGGCCGAAATTTTCACTACATGCCCAACATATCACACGATATAAAACATCAAAAGAATACCAACCAAGAAGTAAATTTACTACTTCGGGTCTTCCCGAAGCATTCTTCCTCCAGTTGTGCTCTCTGAAAGTACTCTACATGGCGTCTTCCAGTCAGTCCGAAACGGAGGACCTGGAGTGTAGGCTCAATGCTTATGCTAGGAGTCGTTTCAAGCTATCGGCCAGGGTACATATGTCCCATCTCATCTTCGAAACGGGATTCAAGAGACGTATGGATCAGCGTCGGAATGTTCGCCGTCTCGAACGAATCTTGAAAATACAAGGATGCCATCGTTTGATGAAGGAAAATCATGTGTCCGTCATAGTACCCAAGGCAGACTGGCAACATCGGGTACACCCGCGATCGAACAACGGAATCCTTCCTAGCTTGGATGTAGATTTGGATTACGGATTACGAGCGCTAGACCACGACAATCTAATTGTAGCTGCCAGAAATACACTCGCATTCAGCAACCAGTGGTGGGTGGTGGATGTCTATCTGACTGAGGAAGAGCCTGGTACGGATCCTTTTGATTGACTCAAAACTTGACCCTTTCTGACTAACGACTACTTTTCTTTCAGATGACCTCAATGAAACTGCCCAGGAGCTTCAAAGAAAGCTCCTCCAATCATTGCGAGAACGATTTTCAAACGAGCATCGGCCATCAGATGGACTGATATATGAGCGTATCAATTACTACGAGGGCCGTCTTGACGGGCCTGAGAATCAACGGGCAGAGGAAAGCTGGTGGGCAGCCCTAGAGTCGGTCGCAGGAAGCAAGAAAGGTCAGTATTTGAAATCATTTTTCAGGAATGAGTTTCTGACCCGCCAATTGAACTCGCTACTTGCCATTCCAGGGCTTTGGGATGGGATGCAGATTGGAAACCTGCACAAAGTTACCGCTATGCACTGTGACGAGGTATGTAAGATTTCCGGGGCCAGATTTCGGTGGAGCAGGGGCTAATAAAATTGGCAAACCAGGCGGTTTCGTGCTACTGGAGAAGTATTTTGACTACATTCCTAGGGATAGTTGGTAGCCGCAGCGAAAATTTACAATTGGTTGACGGTATTACGGTCAACCTCATCGAGTCCCGAGTGCCTAAAGTCTCCAAAAAGGACAAAGAATTTTTGCAGAAAAAGTTTGACGAAGGCGTGCTTTTCCCCAGTTTTTCGGAAAATGATCGACGGGAGATCTGGAACCGATTGAAAGAGATCGACTCTCCAATTCCATCGTTAAAGACATTTTTCAGAGACCGTCTCTATCTGGAAGTACCGCAAAGTGTCATGAAGCAGATATTTCTCTAACCAAATAGTGCTGATGATAAATTGACAATCGACAATGGTGTTCATGGATTATGGGAGATAGGATCAACGCTCGACCCAGCAGCCCGAAAGGCCAGGTTTCGAACTTACATTCTGGAGCTCTGGCGCTTCAGCTTCCAGTATGGATTCGAAATGACCGATTGGAGGCGGCTCAAATCATCAAGAAGTTCGGCATTCGCAACAGTGTCTAGCCAGCAACACTTGCCTCTACCCAGCCGTACAGATATCTGGCAGCATTTTTACATGAAAATGGTGATCATGGGTCTCCGAACACCCAACGTTGTCGACTTTTCTACCCCGCCAGTTGTATTATCATCCGAGATACCTTGCGATTACCCCGAAAATGCATCAGAAGAAGTGGATGTCAAGAAAAGGAGTGGTAAACCCTCGGTGGATACTGTGGAAGCCGACCGATATGCTCTATCAGTAGTATCGCTGAAGGAAAGAAGAATAGAAACCCGTGTCACAGCGAGATTTCTCCGTATATCGGTGTTCAAAAAGTTCTTCGGTTATTTAATGGACCATGATACCATTAGTGGCCAGCTGCTGTGGCCCGAGCTTCTGGAAGACAGCACTCCGCATATTAGCGAGAATAACGACGAGGACACACCGACTCTCTACACACCAGGATTGGGCAGCTCGAACTGGACCATTGCCAGTCCTGGAGTCCATGGGTCTGAATTTCGTGTCTACCAAAGCACACCCTACATTTATCCACCAGATGATCCTGGAAACAGCTTCGAGTCAGCCCCGTTTCCGAGCAGTTTTGAGTCCGCCCCATTTCCTCCTCCTGCAATTTCGAAGAGCACGGCTCCATTCCCATATCCCGATTCCTCCGTTTGATAGTATAAGGCATTATACTATGAATACGTGCAGATTGCGTTCTGATGGCTGAAACTTTAACCCTAGGTCACTTTACTAGCTGGTCATGTCATGTCTTCCATATCAAGCCATGTACACAAGCGAAGAGAAATTGAATGCGAAGCATTTCTGGAATGACAAAAGGTTTGAGCAGAGGAATCAATTTTTAGTGCTTTCGAGCAGGCTGGAAAAAGTACCTGTTTTTTGGAATGACTACATCGAATTCAGTCGATTACACTATCTCCTAGTTGCCTTATGCAAGTCTAAGTTTGAAATACAGCTATTGTTCTGCGGTCCTATTCTCGCCTTGAAAATCTGGCAGCTAGAGTAGCACATGGAGACACCAGGTAAATCTAAGATGACGAAATATATAAAATGTTATTTTGAAGCGTATTGGTTGACCGCTAGGGTAAGTAGATCTATAAAGTCCTTCTGATCTCCGTCCACCACGACCTTCTCAGAACCCTCTACAAGACGTTTCAGTATGAAAGATCCAAAGAAGTAAGCATGGCTTGGTAGCGATTGCGACAATAGAAAGTCTTGTTTGTGATTCAGAGTGCTGGCTAAGATTTTCAGGGCACGGAATAAACAATCCGACCCCGGCCGTGATCTGCGGAGATATGAACGGCGAAGTGACCGGGAGATGCGTTGTGAGCGACGAGCTATCGCTTGACCCAGTCGCTGCATTTTAGGCACACCCCTTATTTCAAGGCCGCGGCACGCGATCAGTATTGAGTGAATATCTATAAAGAGCCGGACATTCGGCCCAGGCATTGCTGTAGGTCTTGAAGCACTTTTGATATAGTATGATGCGAGATCGCCAGGTCGGCCGCCCGTGAAGATTCCTGGCGCGGCGAAGGCAGGCGGTGTAAAAGTATTTCACCCATGGGCTGTTCTCTTCGCCCTAGGGGTTGGGGTGGTGGTGTAGATACGTGCGACAGCATCCACAAAAGCAATACAATAAACCTGACGTATGATTCACTCAAATTGGGGTTGAGGCTTTGAGTAGCATCGAATAAATTATCACTGGGAGGCTTGTGAATCACATTATTTTCCTTGGGAATTGCGCTCGTTATAGCTGATGAGCATGCCATGAGGCTTGGTAGCCCGAATTTCAATTTGATGCATTTTCTTTCACGGGTCGGGCCTAGACATTATAAATATTATTGGCTTGTGTCTTCTAGGAAGGGGGGTCGTGTTTGAAAGGGCCATGATAGTTTATTGAGGTGATGATGGAGATGAGTCATCAGTCACATGATCAAGACGGCAGATTCTAGGAATTGGCGGACGAGTTGGCAAAATGCGGGTGTTGACTCACCACTTTCGATGCCCTTCCCGCCCTCACCACCAGGTCCCGGGTCGGTGATCACCGGTATAATCAGCTGTAGAGCTCACTCTAAAAAAGCCTAGTTACCTACTGTTTCAACACATTCTCGGTCCAAATTTTGATCCACTTGATCCACTTACTCACCATTTATCCTTCACCGGTTTAATCTTCGGCGGTTCACATCTCACCAGTTCGTACTCCAACAGTCGACCTCTCTATCGCCTACATTTCAACCTCCTAGCTTCACCAGTTCCAATTCAACATTTGATCTTCGCTAATTACTACTCAACTGTTTACTTTTCATCACTTTGCTTTTCAATAGTTCAAATATCACCAGTTGATCCTCGGTCCACACTTCAACGGTCAAAGTTTCAACGGTTCACCAGTGCACTTGTCACCTGCCTACATTTCACCAGTCACTCTTCGCCAGTTCACTTCTCACCAGTTCACTTCTCACCAGTTTACTTCTCACTAGTTCAAACCCCACCAGTTGATCCTCGGTCCACATTTCAACGGTTAAAGTTTCAACGGTTCACCAGGTCACTTGTCACCAGTCACTCTTCACCCGTTTTTTCTTCACCCGTTTACTTCTCACCAGTTTGCTTCTGACCTGTCACCTCTTACCAGTCACTCTTTACCAGTCTGCATCTCACTAGTGCTCCTCAATAATCTAGATTTCAATGACCTACCTTTCATCGTTCACATCTCACCGGTTCATATCTCACCACTTCAATTCGCCGGAATAGGCAACTTCCCGACATTGTCGGTATCTTTTCCCAGTAACGGTACATACATTACCGGTATTTCAATTGCATTACGATTTATTTCCCAGGGACGCTGTTTTTAATTGTGGGACTGTATATCCGTTTTCCCGGTCCCATCAATTCGTGTTTCCAAACAGCTGTCTGTATAGACATATTCTGGAGGGCCCTTGTTGCGAGATACCCTACATGCCCATATGTAAATACATTCTATAGGAGCCTTTACATGGAATTAATCAATATACGATTAGGATTCAATTGAGAAATGCGAAACTTCCGCTACATCTGGAATATGTGTGCTAGACTCCCCTCTTGAAAAGCTATTCGCCAGCGACACTGGAGAAAGATGTCTGGATCGCTCATTTTTTCTTTGGTAAGAGCGGGCGATGAGGCGGTGTAGAAGCACGATACTAAAAAAGGCAAGACTCCCTCCAACCACAGTCATGAGAATCAGCTCTACACCCTGTTTGGAGATATGTGTTGACCAATTGATACGACTGGATACCGGATCGTGCATCCATCGGGTTGATGTCATGATGGCAGATGTAGAGGTGTCATCTTTCGTGCTCGTTTGTACTAGCGTGGCTGTATCTATCGATGTTGAAGACTTAGCGGAGGGGCCTCCATGTTGTTTGGATATAGATACGCTTCCCCAGACCCCGTCGTTCAACCCAACTGTATGTGGTAGCTCCGTATCTGATAAGCTGCCTTTCGAGCTTTCTTTGCCCCAAAACACTACACTTCCAGAATCCCCGGGCATCTTACTGTACAGTAGGGGCATTGGCAAAGAAAGCGAAGCCGGTTCAGGGTCTGACCAAGATTCCAAAGTAGATGGTTCAAGAGTATCCAAAGCTTTTTGCTCCGGGTTGCTGTTAGAAGTCAAAGGGAATACATGTTTCCTGTCGGTCTCGGGTATGTAAGGCTTGGAACCATAAGCTGAATGCGTGAAACCGTGTACATCTGCAGTGGTGGGTAATTGACTCTCATATGATGAAGTGGCGGCCGTAGAGTATCTCGATTCCGTAAAATTGGATAGCAAGTTAACTTGAGAAGTGGGTTCAGAGTAAGAGAAAGAAATATCGGAAACAGCTGGACTAGGAACAGTTGTCACGAAAAGATGTTCTGACGGAAGCGTTCTTTCCTTGCTGGGTATGTTTGGAAGCAAGGCTGCGTAAGATGTGGAGACATCATGGGGAGCGGACAGCGATGTACAGGAAATACATGCTGGATATTTGAGTTTCCTAGTCTCAGCTTCAGTGGGCGTTCTGTCATGTTCTAGTTTTCATTGATCACCTACTCCAGAGAAGTTTTGGATGGCCCATTTAGAAGCATCCTGACCTGAAGGACAGGAGTGATATGAATTGCTGAAGTCTAAACCAAAAAGCGTCAAATGTCCTTCCAAGCTTCGCGGGCTTTAATCCAATCTATAAGTTAAGATACGACCAAATTTCCAAAATTTAATCTCCGGGGACTACTTTGTTGGAATAGGAGAAAAGTGGTTTAAATTTTGCGGCCGCAGAAATACTCTTTGCACTCAATATTGATCCTCAGTAACTAGCTCGTTTTGGGAAAACTGCCTGCGCCTAACTTGGGGTTCATAACTGTTGAAAGCTTCTGAAAGCTCTTTTGTGTTTATAGCTCACCATTGTGCTGGGACATATGTCGAACTAGTGCAGAAGACATGTATATAACTGCCATTAGGAATTTTGATGATTTCTTCATACATACATTCTAAAAATGGCTCCTGTTTTAACTCGGGTCAAGAAAGAGCAACTACGAAAGCGCCGTAACAACCTGCTTCGCCGCCACAATGAATTTTGGCTTTTGTATGGGATCAAAAGCTGGCTGGTTATGGAGCTCCCAGACGGTCAAATCGTTACGTACCATTCTCACCCAAATAGCCCTCCACCATCAGCGGAAGATATGGTAAGGCCGAGAAGAAGGTCATCTTATAGTGATTATCCCACGAAGTGCTAATGCGTAGAAGAGAAACCGCGCCAAGCCCCCAATTGTCAAGACATCTCGCGATTACGAAACAACAAACCTTGGTCAACCAACGCAAAGCATGCCCCGCTGTGTCGATGCTCCAATTCGAGAAAGCGGCATATGGGAGGATCTGGCGCACTACCTGGACGAATATCGTCGTGCAATCGTATGATCGAACAAAATCGGCCTCATTCAGTCCATTTTCAAGACACTGCAGACTAGCCAAATGTATGAGACATTTGAATGTGATTGTTTCCATTATAGTTATCTGCTGTACTTATAAGACAGGGAATGACCTAATCATATTCAAACTAGCTATAGTACTCCAATTTTTCGGCAAATATCAAATTATCAAGTCACGTATGCTCCTTATTATAGCCGATACAGACCCAAGAAGGGAATCGTTGTTTACCTAAAGCCCGTTGAACGACTTTAATTTCGTTCCATCTATCCCACCAAATGCTAATGCTTGTGCTTCGAGTGATGTTTTCCATGCCAGTGGGCAAGGTCATGATTTGAGGACGGATGATGATTACCTGGAATGAGATGTCATCAGCTAGGCGTACTGTCATATGGAATGATCTTTGTTACTTGGAGAGCGCTGTAGCGACTCTAGCTGAAGAAGCACGAATTAGTAAGATGCATGATTTTGGTGAAACTAGGAAGTCATAGATTATATGAGTACCTTCAGGGACACGGGAAGTTCTGGGGGCATTGGACGAATAGCCTAGTGGACGATCAATATCTGAAAGATCAGACGAGTGGATGGGAAAAATCACCATGGGAATTGCAAAAGCCAGGGCTACTATAAAGAAAGAACACCAAATTATCATGACTCCAGTCAAAGGTAAAAATTACCGATAGAGTTCGTGTTTGGAAGAAGAATGGGGTTATATTTATAATCGAAGTCACTATCGGACTAAAGGCATATCATAGCAAGGCACCAAGAATATGATGGCATTCCTACTTCTCCTTTTGATTGCTATTTCAATTGACTCACAAAATCGATGCAATGTATAATAATCTATCTACATATATATACTTGGTCTCGAGAGTTTGAGAGGAACTAGCCGAGTTTTATCTTGTTAGCGAGCTCAATTTGTTGTCTCGCTTTATGTGATCCATGAATGTTACTGTGAGAATACTGAAAGACAGAACGAGGGTCCTCAACTATACAGAAAGACAGAGAATTCGCCCACCCCCCCCAAACAGAGATTCGAGACGAAATAGCTTCCTTGCCAGGATTTTCTTCGAACTATCTACCATTCCGAGCCCAGCATATTATTCTACGGTGTATACAGCGGCACCTAGAAACTCAATTCTTCCAATTCATGTTCCGATTGCTACCGTCTGAGTCGATTCAAGTTGGGTGGAAATGTGCCGAGTCAGTGGAGCTGCACAGGATTTTCAACTTCCTGGCAATGTACCGGGGCAGGATTCAAGACCGTTGCTTCAATTTGGCATAAAAAACAATTCAGCGGTGGCGATGCGTTATTATGAACATTCGTCACGCCGCAGTTCACAGGATTGAGCAGGGACGAGATACTCTGCTGCGAATGAATCGAATTGCGATCAGACTAGTCAGAAGCATTGCTGGGTTTGAAAAGTCGCACAGCCTGCGTGGCCTTCAGAAATTTCCTGCACATGAAAATCTCAAATATGGACCTGCTGAACACTCAGCTGCGGAAGAATCTCGACCAGCAATTATTGCTATGCGATAGCCGTCCAAAGGTCCACGAAATACGCTTGAAATTGCTGCCCGAGGCTGCAAACAGACTCCAGCAATCTCATGAAGACAAATTCATCGCAGAAGTCAGTAATTACATAGGCACCGAGTTCGAATCCCCTTAAATTGACCTAAAATTCATATACTGTGTGAAACGTACGTACAGGTTCGAAATTTCGGAGAGTGAAGCTGAGTATGATTAAACAAGCCGAAGAGTAAACTCAAGGGCACTGAAAAATGTATTTCCTGGACTGAAGCATCTCCAAAGTCCGTCGCTTTCCGTACTCAAAATACCAAAGGGGCCATGGTTGCAAGAAATACTTCGGGCTCTTCAGCTATGCAAAGCATGGCTATATACGCACTATCATAGCCACCCGGGGGCTGATAAAGTCGTGGAGGGAACATCCCATTGTTGTTTCAATCGCTTCTCGGCTTCAGCTTCTTTGGCTCGTGATTTGTCTAGTGCTACCCTTAAGAGTATGATTGTTCGGATCAAGCGTGGATCTTTCACAGGCCCTTTCCCGGGATTGAAATGATACTGCAATACCAAATCCTGTGTGGATTCCATGATTGTGATGATAAGTTGGCGAAATATTTGAAAACAATCTTGATAGAATTCGTTCTCGCGTTCCTGCTGAGCCTTTTGTCGTAGCTTTTGTCTCCTCAAATCGTCACGTGGTATGTTGATCTGTCCCTTGCAAAGCTGTAGACGCGATCGTGTCATTTCCAAGGCCATCGTAGATCCTCTTGCCAAGGCAATTTGGTGATCTAGAAGGTTGATTTCAGGGGCCGATAAGCCGACCGAGGGAATTTTAGGAAGAGGGTTTGCTGAAGTCTCATGTTTTGCCGCATCAAGAGGCCTGCTGTAGATGCTCGAGCTATTGTCGGAAAAATCGGTTGGCATATTGCGGGATCTTGATCCATGCGGAAATAAAACCTTGCGACCAATTCGATAGGAGTAGCATTGAAATAAACACAATCTAATCACTGAAGAAGGAGGAGTATGTAATAATGGCTAAATTCATGGTTGAAAACGTTGATACATTAACGATCATTACTTTTTCGCAGCGGTTAAAGATTATCACCAGCGATCTCTAACTTCAGCACTAGATAATAAATGATAGATTGCTAGTACTTCAAGAATACATTTTTTTAAGTCGATATAACTTGCACTCGAAATTGAATTGATCACGCATCCGTGCCCGAACAAAGTAAGATTGTGACGATCGGAAAATGCCATGGGGATCACCAAAATGACACTCTGCGTTACAATCAGAGGCGTCACCAAAGAGAAATCTTATAGTCGTGTTTTTTTGGAGAGGCATGGTTGGTCGGAGAATTGAACCTGACGCTTTTTTCCATTATGACAGGAGCATTGCCTGTGTCGAGGCCACTCTAAGACCAAATGGTCCGCGCGCCCAAAAGGAGCAAAAGCCTGTTGATTATCAAGTATCTTCTGTATGGATGTTGGAAAGCCTCCAATCCTGTCGCAGTGCCTGCCACTTATTATTTCTATGGATACCCTCTCCCCGAGGCTGGCCACCGGGAAGGCGACAGGCTTTCGAAAGTACCCGCAAAGATTGCAACAATTGAGCGAGCTCACATCACCTAGATCACAACCGTGGCTAGTCTGAAACCGTGCACCCGGAAATTCGACTAACACTCGCTGGAGGATTGAAACAGCACCGGCTCTCGCACAAAGGATCGAGCCTCGGCATTGAAAGCTGTCGTGGCTTCTCACGGGGGGTTTCATCCAGCTCAAAGAAAAACATTGCCGTCGCGAGAACTGCCCGAACGAGCGGATCTGGGACGGCGAATTTCATCTCTAGCATCTTTTCCAATGAATTGATATCATCTAACTCGGGTATTGGACCATGGACCTCATGATCAAGTCGAAAAACATCGGGCTTTGAATGATGAGGAAGATAATTGAGTGCTTCGATATATCCTTGTTTCCCGTCCATCGAGGGGGAGAACATCAAGGCCCGGAGAAGACGCGGGAGAGCACCCTCCCGTAGTCTACTACAACAGCCTGAGGAGGGATCTTGGACAGAAGACGACCACCCGGTTCCGACTGAAAGAAGGAGATCATGTCTTTCTGCTGCAGGCCAAACCATACTTGACTCGCGCAGAGCAATTGACAACGGATTGTTTGCACGCACTCCGCCATCTTGTAGCGGCCCTAGGCCAGGTAACACTTTGGTCGAGAAATAACTCAAGATTGTCAGCTTGACATGTTCAGAACACAAAGGAAAGGGTAACTTACAAGGGTGCTGCAACGCTGGAGATTGTTCTGCCGTATTATAAATAGTATTAGCAATGTCTACTACCGCCAATTTGAATGCGCACCTCCCATTGGAATTGGACTTACATTTCTATCAAATTCAGGTCCTCTTGATTGTCGTGGGGAGTCACAAAGTGATAGGCAGCAGGAGCTGCATTCCGACCCACTCCTCGATAGTTTGCCATCACGCATGCCTTTCCATCGGAGGTACGACTTGCTACAACAGCCACTCGACAGCCTGAGGGGCTCATGGTAGGAACATCAAAGACTCGACGACCAGGATTGATGGCTTCTTGTAAAGTTTCCGACAAACTTCTCGAATCGTAGAGCCCGTGGGAGGTCAGATTGAATGCAGAGGCCAGCCAATGGGCATAGCGAAGAATCGGATGCCTGTATTCACGACGGAAAATCTTTCGTGCCAGATCGGGGAATTTGAGGAAACAGCTGGTGGCCAAACTACCGTTGATGAAGATGTCAATTGCCGCCAAGGCACCTAGAAGCAAGTTATTGTAAGCTTTTAAGCATAGAAACCAATTTCTCCACCGGGGTCATACCTACCTACACTCGTTCCGGCGCACAGGTCCGGCAGCAATGAAATGGGTATACCAATGCGTTTTTCCAATGCACAGAGAAGTCCCAGCTGGATGAGGCCGCGGACACCTCCTCCGTCTAGGCTGAGAATAACGGGGCGCTTTGTCGGAGGAAGTTGACGGATGGTCATGTTGCACTTGCGTTCACAAATCGGACATTGGACAATTTCTACTTGATACGCCCTAGAGGGTTCAAAATTCCCAAATATCGCCACACAGGTGTCACACAATGCGTGTGTACATGGTAACATATGCTCTGGGGGCCGAAGCAAGCAAACAAAGCAGGTGGTAGTGGAATAAAGGTTTCCTCTCCTGACGATGAAATTGGCCAAGTGCATCTTTACGGATAGATGAGGAAGTTCTGTTGACGCTCAATTCCGCGAACATTTCAACAAAGCGCGATCGAATGCGTTCGGTGAGACTCCCAAAAGGATAACCGCTCCAGATATCTGTACAATGAGCCTCGAATAGGGCGGTAAAGACTGCCGAGGGAGGGAATCCTAAAATCGTTAGCGTTGGTATTTAGTTGGGGACTGTCAGCCCTACCGTGCATGCCCGGTGGATAAGCATTCATCAGAAAAGCCGAAGCGACAACTTCGACCAATCCTTCTGGAATAGCACTATGGTTGACAGAGGACATCGCAGTTTGCAAAAGCTCGTGCAGGAATTCATCTTTCTTCTCGGTTTTGGGGAACCCTATGCGAGCTTGAGCCAGCAGATCTAATGGCGATGCTTTGCAGAGCTGGCCATTGGCTGGAACACTTGCGCCCCAGAATGAGCTCAGATGAAATGCAGAAAACCGACCACAGACTATCTCATCTTCGGCGTGGACTGACTGCAGTTTCTCAGATATAAGGGCCCACAACGGCTCAAAAGCGATCGTGTCAGAAAGACTGGATCTTGAACTCAGATCTAGGAATGTGATCCTTCCTCCCTCGACTATCTGACGCAGTTTTTCATATCTTGGTGAGGCGATCGCTGGCCCGTGAATGTTCTTATTGATTATAATGATCACCTCGGGTGAAGATCGAATAGCTTGGCTCCCGACTTGAAGCTGCCTATGCGGTTGCTGGAGCAAACTTTGCGTGGATTTGAGATCGGATTCGGATTCGACAAACAAGCACAAGACCCGGGTCCATGGTAGGACGAGCTGTCTTTTTGTTTCTTCCTGTATTGATCCAGGGGAAGACAAGCCTCCCGCCTTCGAGAGTGCGTATTTTCGATGCTTGGTAGTCGCGTGTCTGAGCCATTTGGTATCGCCAGTACTCTGCTGTAAGCATAGACTGCTCTCAGCAATCATGAGAGGGCTATCCGTATTGATAGCCTTATGGTCAATATGTAGGCGGATCAGCCCATTAGCACCCTTGCGGGTGACATTATTTTGTGGAAGGAAAGATCGTAGGGCTCTGATTCGGCTTTTATGACCTGCGAAGTAAATTAAATCCGGATATTGGCGTTCAGGAAACGACATCCCCCTGACAAGGTCACCTAGCCGGTCCGTATCAACTAGAGCCCAGTCCTCTCCTTCTCTGACAATGTCTAGCCATGCTGCCATCACGGGTGGCGGCAGCTTCGGGGTTAGAAAGGCAGAACACACGATTAAAGCGCTTTTATATCTGAAAGTTTGTTATAAATGCCGACTATGAGACCTCATCTTTATTTTTTCATCCAGAAATCAACAGCAAAAAAGTAGTCCCAGTTGTGCATCTCTCAAAAGTTCCATAATATTTACACCCAGGAACACATATTATAGGCTCATGATCATCATTTTGATGAAGCCATTACAAATACTACCTCCGTCGATTTCGTATTGCTTGATTCTCAACTACTAAGCTTCGAACCCGAAAATATCTCTTGATTTTAGCTGAAATTCATATAAATATCTCACATAGTATTGGAATTCGACAGGTAGAGATCTTCTTCTTTACAAAATCCAGGAAGCATGCCTACCAATTCCCAAGGAACGCCGATTCCGCCTCCAGCTCGAATTTATGCAAGGGAGAATGTCACCTTGGCCAAAGGGAACATTTACTGTCCCAGGGACGCCAAAGAAGAGCAATATTTAAGAATGCTCAAGGAAGAGGACCAAATGGACGCAACCTTCAACATCACAGCTAGTGCGGCTAACTGGGCGCTTCTAGCCGGGTACCTTGTCGTCCCCGGTACCTTTGCGTCACTCCAGACGTCAAAAGAAACTGAACATGTTTTGACGTCTAACAAAACGGGCCGCGTTATATTCCACACCATTCAGAATCCACCTTTGCTCGGAATTGCCTGTTTGTTCCTCGCGAGCGGCATAGCAGCAATACTGTGGCTACTTCACTTTCCGCGCCTAAGGGGAAACTATGTGTGGCTGACGAACAAAATTTTCATGTAAGTAAGACTTGGGTGTTGTATTGGCCAGAAGAAAGAAAGAGCTACTAATTCCTGTAACAGGCCATTGACTTTAAACGCCGGTGCGGGACTGCTTACCACCTTGATCAATGTTTTCGCATCAAATCGGGGGGGTTTGGTCGGTGATGGCTATCGTAACAACTGTTGTCACTGGGGCAACATTTATTGTCTTTTTGGCTGTTTTGCTAGTTTACAAGCTTTATAAACTACCCCCATTGAGCGGACAAAGAATTGGTCTCCAAAATCCGCCCTACGGCCGCAGGGAAGGTTGCGAAACATCTGCAGCGGGTAATGATAAAAGCTAGAGAGTCTATCATTATCTTATTGCCTGTGTTCTCGGGGTTTCATGAGGTGCAGGGGATGACGCGAAGTATGTTGGCGACTAAAACAAAAGAGCATGTGGGAATTCTTCCGGGCCTTTATCACGCGTTTTGTCCCAACTCAGGTATGGATTAAGTAATTCTCTCGGTAGTGAAGAAATTTGAATTAATAATGAGGTTTTTTTTTTTAAAAAAAAAAATAAATAAAAATAAAGCATGACAGCACCATAGAAACTAGGCTTGTCTATCTGAGTCGCCTGACAGGGTAGCTTGAGGCAATTTCTCAACTATAGTAATTGTTTACGATCTCACAGTAGATATGTACAGTACCCACCGAGCTGCTTGGGCTTCACACGCTTGCCCATAACCGATAAATATGTGACATCAATGTCATACTTTGAAGAGGACATGTTGCCTGTATATTAATCTCTTCACATTTAAATACCAACATGCTGTACAGGAAGTCATCGTTGGACCGGCAGAATCTATCTCTTTTCCGCGCCTCCTTCCCCCGCTCCTTTTATACGCCTATTTGATCAAGACACATCTGCTCCCTATGAACGGTCAAGGTGGGCCCAATCTGACTCTACACTACTAACTAGATCGCATCAACAGATGAGCCAATTCACTGAACTATATTTCTTGATTCTGAGAGCCTACTGATACGTGGCCGCCGAGTAAAACACATACATAGCGCTGGTAAGCCTGTCCTATCTTGTCAAAACTTTCACTGAATTGAGGCACTAACCCAAATTAAGCTTTTCATCAACTTCTGGAGATTAAACAACATTTTTCCCGAATTCACAATTCTTTGATACTGAATTTCCTCGAAGTGATACAGAGTGGATAGAAGATGTAGTTGATGGAATAAAGTTCACAGTTGATAGTCGTTCTATTTCATTTTTGAGTCATGATTCAAGGGCTATTTGAGTCTCCACTTTGATGAAAAATCATGCATAGCTGAGAAGCGTTCCGATGTCTCTTTTAAGTGATTCAAACCTTAGATCAGCGGTAATTAGAAAGAACATAAATAAGCCTGGCTGAGTCCCCTATGCATTAACCTTGAGATATTTCACCATCAGTCATTCAAAATGTCATCTCGTCTTTTTAAAGGCCCGAAGAACGGCATTTGCAAAGCTCAATCAGCGATTAGGAGCGATAAGAAACTTTCCAAGCTCGCAGAACAGGGGTTTTTGGCACTGGACGATACCATTCCTTGGTCCAAGAAAGATAGTTGTGCGCAGCAAGCTGTATTTGTCGGTGAGACAGGCAAATTTGCAAATCACGAAGACGCCCCACACCATCATACGAGTACCACAGATGAGCAATATCCCGAGCCCAAAAAGCAGACTTAAGTACTACTCAAGGAGCTCGAATGCAATGATGATCCCGCCGAGGCACTAAATCTCGAAGCGAATTCTTTCTGACACAACATGAGCAAGTGATGGGAGTCAGGATTATTCTTTTGAATCAGTCTCTTATTTTCTAAGCTGTACTGGCCCAATACAAGTGAGACGTGGCTTTTCAAGGATTGTGGTTGAGCAGGTCATATATTTGTGATTATTCAAGTTTCCAGCAAAATTACAGACTACGAAGCTTTAAACTTATCTTGTGATTGTGCTTATTTTCAATTAAAAACGGCTTTTGGTAATTTACATGAAAATATCTACACTATAAAGCACTACCACAAGCCCAAAGCCTCAGTGTCATTGCTAGGAGAACAGAGAATATTCTCAAGCTGAATGATGTCTCCCAGGATAAATTTTGTTAAATTCAATGATTGATGTAGACGCAACGCAATTAGGCTCTCTTTATGCTCTTCTCTGTGTATTATCTTACTCTTCGTCCAACAGGGCTTCCGAGAAAGAAAAATGGACTGAATTTCTGACGGTGTAGATCATGGCTTTGTCGCTTTAATACGAGCAAGCAGTTTGTACAGCAAATATAAGAGGAAAGATAATCACGACAGAAAGGTGCTCTTATGTTAGCTCATGGACCATAAGAAATGAAGTAATGCGGCCGACTGCAGTCCTGGGCATCACATTTGAGGCACAAATTCCTGCTTTGCGGCCCACCTGGTGAGATTCCCTTATCGGCCATTGGATTCCCCCGTTTCACTGAGTCTATGCCACCCTTCATCGTTTCATTTCGCTGAGTTTGGCAAACTTTTATGGATTGGCTTGGGGTATTGTGATTTCTTGGAAACAGACAGTAAGTACATTGCACTAGATTGATTTTTACGAAAAAATGGAGTGTAGGACTTACTAGTTGATCTTGTGAAAGTGGCCAACCTTCCAAAGACGTCACCAGTGTGTAAATTTGGCCAGAACCTTTCATCCGAATACTCAGATGAATATCAGCAGCACATTCAGAACTGTATTCGGACAGCTTTTTGAAAAGTGTTTCCCTTCTTCTTCGAGCTTTCTGACTAGATGCACTTCTGGGTTTCGTGATTAAGCGCGGGGAATCATCCATTATGAAAGAAAGTTTGAAACAGGATCAATTGCGACAGATTAAAATCGACTTAATATCTGACATGTCCTATCATTTAAGTAGGCTTTAAAATGAATTTTCATTCATTTTAAGGAAATATAAAATGAGAGTTGATAAAGAAACAAAGCAAAAGTTTCCTGTTAAGTGAGCGACGGGTTTCTCACAGTTGGTCGAGCAGTATCGGATTCGGTGAAACTTGAACGTTTCAGCAAACGGACGGACACCATCTGTTCACCTCCATCAACTAGAGCCGTGCAGGAGAGCGCACATAGTATCCAATATGCAATTATACGGTGGTAATAACAGTCACATTATTTTTCAGCTACGGCGTGCCAATCATTCTCGCATAATATACCTCTGTCTGAAGAAATTGAGCCCATTTCAGACTATCACAAAAACACCATCAGTTGACAGCCTCACATTAGACAAAAGAGGTTCGTGCGATATAAGAAAAATAAATTGCATTGAGCACATGCAGTGAGCAAGGCACTCGCAGTTATTTATTCGAGGTCCAGTGATATGTCTCTTTTGGCTGGCGAGATCTTCTACATATATAAAAGCTTCGATCAGCTTCCATACATAAATTTCAAACATAAAATTTGTCCTCGAGTGCCATTGCATTCCGATTGCTACTATGAAGCTTTCTGTGGGGAATATTCTGCTCTTCGGGACTCCAATTTGGCTAGTTCGTTCCCACCTCGCCATGACGTCACCTGAACCATATGGCAAGGATACCCTGAATAATTCGCCATTAGCTGCTGATGGTAGTGATTTTCCTTGCAAGCTTCGCCAAGGTAGCTTTCAAGCTCCCTTGCATGAGAATTACTATCATATCGGAGAAAACCAGACAATCCGCCTTCTAGGGAGTGCAACACATGGCGGTGGGTCTTGTCAAATCAGTCTCACAACTGATCTCGAGCCAAGTAAAGATTCGAAGTGGAACGTTATCAAGTCATTTGAAGGTGGCTGTCCCTCAGATGTATCATGGAATCTCAATGGTTTGTCGACGACTGACCATGATCTTGAACTTCCTTTTTCGATTCCTGAAGGTATTCGACCGGGAAAATACACCTTGGCTTGGACCTGGTTCAATAAAATCGGCAACCGTGAAATGTACATGAACTGTGCCCCAATCACAGTGGCCAAAGCGCCACTAGATCCACCCTCCAGAAATATGGCGGATGCCCAGGTTTTCCCACCTATGTTTGTTGCAAATATCAACGGCTGCATGACGACGGAGGGTGTGGATATTAGTTTCCCCGAGCCGGGAAATTTTGTGGAACCCAAGAGACAGGCAGAGAAGTGGCCCGAAGAAAGTGGACCAGTGTGCGTTGGGTTCCCTCGCTTTGGTGGCTTCGTAGCTTCGGAGAGCACCAGGCCGGTTATGGCAACAGCTCCCATTCTTAAGACCAGCAGTGTGCTAACTTCCAAATGTTGCAAATGTGGCTGTCATAGTTCGCATCCTACGGTCGCCGCCCAAAGGCGCAAATAGACCCCATAAAGTTTAAAGATTTGACGACGAACAATCATATATACTGTGATATTTAAATGATTTCTTTTGATTTTATGTGATTTTTCAATAGAAAGGGCCTTTCTGCGGAACTTCATATATAATACAAAAATCCTCAATCCAACGGTCCCATGATTACCGTGTCCGAATTTCGATATTGGTCAGCGTTTCACGGAGGACGGGCAGGGTTTCGATTTCACATTATTTACATCCGAAAGTATGTTTTGATGATATTGAATCAAGAGTTCGCGGCATAAATAGCAATATGTAATTTGCAAGGCTATATATAACGGGCAGTGTCAAGAGCGGAAAAGCGACTTATAAATGTGCAGTATCTAGGTAGTCATGTTTGATTGAATCTATTGGCGACGGTAGAATCTAAGAGGTTCCGGCTCCGGTTGTCTGACCCGATAACGGGGAGATGGCTGGCCCCGAGACTACTACATTCGCTAGACTAAAACTGATTACGTCGCCTGGACATTGAGTCATGCTCTTGTGGTATGTCGGTCTTCATCCAGGTATATCAGATTCAAGAGCCTTCGATGACGATGAGTTGGATTGAATGTCACCAGCCGATAGACCCACATTTTCAGGATTTGCGCCAAGCTTTACCAGGGTCGCCGTATGCCCGTTCGTATTCTCAAAGTCATATCTTAGGGCGCTGTCTAGCTGTTCTTGACTAGCAAATGGACTGATATGTTCCAGGAGCTGTTGCTTCATCTCAGCTTTACCGTTCATGATATGTTCCAAGATAGAATGGCCAACGCCATCCCGGGCAGTAAAGACCGCACCATGTCTAATCAAGCAGTCGATTATTTCTCTATATCCAAAGTACCCTGCTTCAATGAGTGGCGTGAAGCCGAACCGATCTCTGCGATTGATATTTGCCCCAACAAGGATCAGTGCATCAAGCATATCCACGGAACAGGTAGATATCGCATATGTCAACGCCGAGTGGGCCATACAGTCAAGCTTATTGACAAAGTCAACTTGCTCTGGCTCGGGAGTTGCTTTCAAAATCCGATGGACAACGTTGAATACTTGCGGAGCCCGACTTAGGATGGAAACATGTAAAATGCTCATGCCTAATTTGTCCGTATCAAAAATAGCATGTGGGCTTCGCTGTAGATACAAGCCACCGATTCCTTTGAACCCTCGAAGAACACAGCTATGTGAGATTGGCCAGTTAGACTCGGCACATGTAGAGATAATGTACCGCATGATTCTCTCCGGACAGTCAATATCTTCGAAGATGCCAGTCAATATACAAATATCTCTTAGTATTGGTTGCTCACACTGTAGCGAGCTTTGAACAATCTTGTATAGCCAAGACCTTGGCCACCGACTTTCGTTGAACAGCACAGCAAGGAAATTCAGATGTCGAAGCGTGGGGCCCACTTTGTGCTTGAGAAAATCGAGCGAAGCAAGTAAAAAGTCCCATCTGCTGAACGCGAACGAGATTGTGTCCTCAAGTGATAGGCAGTCCAGTATGTCGTATAATAATTCAAGGGGGAGGGGAAGAATGGCATTGTTAGTATCGCTTGATCGATCATTACTAGATTTCAGTTGCTGTTCCATGATCACACCCCGATTTTCAAAGTGTCGGGATATATCCCTCTATCAGAACAAGCCAGCGTCTGATAGATCACATTTCTGTGTATGTAACCTCGCGCTAAGCTGCGGTTCCGGCTTATGGGATTCAGGGGTACTTCAAACCTGAGCCGGGACACACATCTATCTACATGAACCAATTGACTTTGCTTTTCGAGCACACATGCTGTTCACTTAACTGTGCATACAGTACCTAGCTGGTGATACCAACACAAAGCCTTGAACCGGAACAAGCTACTGATCTTGATGTCAATGGTGGCTCTCTAGCGTGGGGCTCAGAGGTTTTAAATATTAAAAATCTTTGAAAAGTGCTATTATGGCTCTTGAATGTCTTTTGTATTCAAATTTGACGTTGCCAAGGAAATGAGTATGTCATGTGAGCGTATGAGATGCTATCTCGATATCAGTGAGGTATGAGCTTCCGCCCTTATTTATATTTAAAATATCTTATTTGCCCCAACAATATAAATGATGCATTTGAAGTCCAAAGCTATCTACGCCAAAGAAATAAATTTTGCTCTAATTCTTTCTTCCGATTTTATCAAATAGCTATGGACTTTATTCATGATATTTTTTGATGCGGTCACTCCATCATTTAGGTTAGGCTTAGAGGACAATAAGAAAGGCATTAACTATGGCTTCCTGTAACTACTTGGCGGATGAACCAGCCCGGCCCAATCGGAGATATACGGGTGGGAACTCGACAAATGATCCACCCCCGCCTCTCCTCATTTCAAGAGTGGAATATATAGCGGATCAGGCCTTGCCTAATACTATTCATCAATTGTCCCCTCATATTAGCGCGTGATGGCTCTGGAAAGACTGGTTTTAGCGAGCTGGCTTTAGCTCATAATGTAGTCATCAAATCCTCCGAGCTGTACGAGTCCTTCTCTCAGCCGAGTTATTATAGCTTCTTGACAAATGCCAGGGAAATAACCAAGCGGAATTTTGGGGAAAAAACATGCCAGGAATATTTGTAGAAAAGGCGAGGTGTATTGAGGTGTGTAAGCTTGATCGAAGGCCGGACTTATGCAAGGTCGCTCAAGAGGATCTCTTTTCGCACCGCAAGGTATACTCAGTGTGTGCTCATATTTCAAATCTTCCACCGGGATCCATAATACACTGCAGTGGGTAGTTTTGAATTTTCATTAGCTTCATAAACATTATAACAGGTGGCATCTAGGCATTTCAAATGTTTCCTCAGATCGGCCTATACTGGCTTTCTTTTCAGTCATTTATACAAGGTGCACTTTATCTCCTCTAATATACATTCTAGAAGGCGTTGATCGTATAACTATAAGGATTATTGCCCGGATGAGTAATCAAAATACTACTTGACTCAAAATTTCAGATGAATAGAGTCAACGATATTTATAACAATGCCCTTCTCATTATTACCAGCTTTTCAATTGATGTTACATATCTTCTTCGCATTGCGTATATAGCGCGAAAGCCTTGCTCATAGTTTACATACAGGACATATCAGAAAAACCATGGGAAAATCTAAATCTCTCATTAAGAAATCTACGCTGAGCCCGAAGTGAAATGAATTTTCACAACGTCAGCCTTATCGTGCATCAGACGAGATGCCATGCCAAAGAGGCCCAGTCACAGTGGAGTGAAAGTCATAAGCATGTCGCTGAAGATGCATGACTTCTGCGAACTCCTCGCCACATACTTTGCATTCTATCGTGGCGCTCGACATGATTTTCTTGAAATGCTTAACTCTAATATGTTTTGTGACGTCTCCGTGGGAGGCAAATTGTTGTGTTCGCTTTGGAATGTCCAGGTTTGGCTGACCCACGCAAATGAAACAAAATAATGGCCGATGATCTTTCATCGCAGATCGAAGAGCAAACTCTAGGGGGCATTCTTGCTGATTGATTACGACAGCCTTTTCGTTTTCCGGTTGGGCATTTTCACAGCTTCGCTCATTTTCACTGGAATCTTGTGGTCGTTTTTCTCGTGGCCGGCGACACGTGTCTCCCTCCTGGAACTGAGAATATGCAGCTACTGCATCAATCGCTTCAGTCCTTCGAAGCATCTCCTCTTCTATCGTCGAGCGAGGCAAAGAAAGGAGGCTTTTGATCAAGAGTTGCTGCGGAACAGGAACATCGTTCGAGCATTCCAGCGGCTTGGGTGAGGTACCATTTTGGTCGATCCCTGACAGCTGACGCTTGATCTCCAGCATAGGTTGCTCTCTTTCATACTTTTCTTGCACTTCCGCGAGAAGTCGATCATGTTCACGCTTTTTGGTTCCTGCCAGTTCTTGCTTCAATTTTCTGTACTTTTCGTACTTTGTTCCTTTGTGCTTTGATATGGGGCCGTCAACGGATTGAACGATTTCGTCGCGCTGGCGTTTCAACTCGACAATCACAGGCAGTTGATTCAGAGAGAAAGATTGCTTGGTAGTCAGCCTCCGTGGGCGATTTGGATCGATAGTGCGACTCATTCGGCAGGCTGCACGCATGATATCATCTTCTGGATCAAGACCACGAATTATTGCAGGCAAATTTTTCGAGATCCTTCTGCTGAGGTAAAACTTCAAAAAGGTCCTCGTATCGGCGTGGTGCATGACAAGATTGCGCATAGAATCACTGACAGAGCCTAGAATCGAGTCAGCCTGTTGTGCCCACAGATCCATAGAGGTCTCGTACCGCTATTGTCCAGAGCCGTGCCTGCTCCATAGCGCAAACTATAAGGACGTGTCACCTGCCGGATACCTGTGATCGCTCCTATCTTCTTGACCCACGGTTCCAAGGTTGAGTAAGGAAGGGGTTTAGCGGGGGAAATGCCAATCCCGTTCAAAGTCCTTTCCGACATCCGGAATACCGGTACATCATCCATCGCCGAATCAAGTTGTAGTTTTAGCTCATTGCACTCCTCACGGATTCGGATTTGAGAAAGCTGACTTGCGGAGACAAGTACTTCTTCGCCGTCAACGCGGCCAAACGCACGATCCGCAAATAGAAGACCTAACAAGAAGACATGAGGGCTTAAAACCAAAGAAGGATCAAAGATTATTTCCGGTAGTATATAAGTGTTCCTGGAAAGGTCTCAGCAAGAGTGAATGATTTGGTATTGTTTACTCACGCATCTTTAGCACCCAACCATTCCTTGGTGAATTCGAAAGTAAATTCAATCACAATGCGATGTGGACCGCCTCGTGGATCGCGCAAGAGGCTGACTTGGATGTGACGGTATCGCAGATTCAGAATGGCCTGTGGTCGGTTCGTTGTGAGACCTGCAAGTTGCAGGAAAAGTCCAAGCTCTATGCGGTGGCGCCCATGCCCGAACTTTTTCTCAGTTGTGCTGATGGCGGTTTCCACTACCTTGGCCAGATCCTGAACATCCATAGGCGGCTTATCCCTCCCTTTTTCCGCCAATTTGTACTTTTTGGCTAATCTTCGAATCACCTATTTTTCGAAAGTTTCAGCGTTGAGAAGGACAATACAGCTGAGAGGAAAGACTGTGGGAGCGCATACTCGTCGCATCTGACGGTTCATTTGATTCCCGATTTTTTTTGATGTGGACCTTTCATATACTAGTCGAAAGACTTTCCAGAACGTATCCAAGGAGCTTTTGCACTTGATACCTGGAAGCCTTCTTCCGTTCTTGCCGCGTCGCAGATTGAGGGTCCAGTCGAGGAAGTTATATAGAATCGGAATCGATATACGATGGTATTCCTCGTCGGGCTCCTTTCGAATAAAATAACAGAACCTGGCGTATATATTCTTCAGCTGAAGATTGGGAAGTAAGCGAAAGATTACAAGCAGCACTCACTGGGTCCATTTTTCTTCAACGCGGTCGAGAAGGGTCGTGGTGCCTTTCCCGTAGTCTTCCTGTGTGTAAATTTCCTCGTCAAAGGTACTAAGTTGCTTGATGTAGTACTCCGGTGGGTGCTCGTTGTCTGCGAAAAGTAAGGCAGCATCATTAGCGTGCTCTGGCTGAGCTGCATTGTCCTCGGGCTCGGTAATATCTGTTTCAGATTCGCTATCAGCGTCACTGTCTGTTCCAGGGTAGTCACTTCCACTGGGTGACTGGATATAGGGGTTGCGACATTGACGGCCCATCGTGTGATGATTTTGTCGTCAGCATGCAAGTACAAGCAATATGCAGAAGCGACCGGGGTGTATATTTAAAATGCAAAGTGGTACTAGACCTTGGGCAAGTAAGATTGGAGACAGGAACTTATTCCATGATTAAAAAAGCGAAACACCCTCCTATTTATAGCTGCAAATTTTTTTTCAAGAAAATTAATGGTACCGAAGCCAGGCACCTGAGGGCATTCCGAACTATAGAAGGATGTGGATCTGCCGGAACGAATGAAAGGCGGCAGCGTTGCGGCTGCGGTTCGCACAGTCCGCGCTGCGTGAATAAAGAGGTGCGTGGTTCATAGGTGGGAGTGAGTGGCAGAAAAGTTGGCAAATGGGCGGCCAAAAACGGCGCTCCAGAAGGTCATTTTCGGCCGTCTTCTTGCCGTCTTCTAGTTTTAAGTAGTATTTAGTATATATATAAGATTTAGGACTATACTCTTACTTTAAGAAATTAGGTAATCTTCTCTTTTTTCTTCTGATCTGTACCGATACAGATTATAGTTTTTAAATACTTAATTATTATTGAGGTTCTATAGTAGCCCTTTTGCTTTTAAAGAGGATTATATAGATATTCTAGAATTCTAGTATATCGTTTATATATAATCTTTAGCATACTGTCCTTAGCTAATATAACCTGATGGTAATCTTTCTAGATATCCTTATTATGGTTTAAATCCTATACTACTTTACTCTTTTGCCTATAATCAGTCTTAATCTACCATTAAACCTAATCCTTATATATTATGCTGTCGTATAGTAGATAATCCTTTCTACAGTTAGGGCTAACTTGTTTAAGGGATAAAGGAATCAGAAAAGGACCAGTTTAGCGAAGAAAGTCAGGCTTACTATAAGGCTTAAGAAGCTTAAGAGTATCAATAAGGTATTAATTCTGACTACCAGCTAGTATAGCAGTATTCTATAAAGAGATCAGATAACTAAGAGTCTCTATATTCCTATTATATAGTAATAGGAGAAAATCTGAAAATTAGCTTTAACTCTGTAATATAGTTACTATTATAGATTTATAAAATTATAGTACAGTAAAGGATAGAGGATATAGAAAGAGTAAATACCTATACTAAGAAAAGGAAGAAAAATATTTAGCTTAGTAGATAATAATTAATTATAAAAGAAGATAGATCAGAAGAAATATATAGCTATTCCTGCTACTACTACTAATTAGTTACTAATATAGATAAGATATAGTTAAATCTAAAAAACCTATCCAGACTGACCTATAACCTATCAATAACCCATTTATAACCTATTAACCTATTAACCTATCAATAAACCATCTATAACCTATCTATAACCTATCTATAACCTATTAACCTATTAATAACCTATTAATAACCTATTAATAACCTATCTATAACCCATCTACAACCTATCTATAACCTATTAACCTATTAATAACCTATTTATAACCTATTCTGTTCTCTAATATACCTAAGATACCTAAAAACTATTTAGGTCTAAGCTGTTCTTTCAGCAGAATGATCTTGATAGCTTATCTTTCAGCAAAAATAACAGAAGCTTATCTTTCAGCTGAAAGAAAAGAATAGTAATAATCAGTAGCCAGGGTAAGCTAAGACTTCAGCAAATTTGGCAGAGGTTTTAGAGTCTTAGCGCTTTTAGGGAAGCAGGGAAGTAGATATATTATATATAGGGTATTATATATCCTCATCAGTGTAAAGGGTAGGCTTAGGTATCGCTAGCGCTAAAGTTAATACATAGCTAGTAGCAAAATAAGTCAAAGCGCTATAGGCAGCAAGAATTGCTAAGGTCTTAGTTAAGACTGTTAAGCGAAGAGAATCAAAATCAGAGAGTGCTTAGATCTTAGAGAAGAGGTACAGAAAAGATTTAGGCAGCCAGACGGATACAGATAGTCAGACGGGTATGATGCTGATTGGTTATCTTCTGATAAGAAAGCAGGATATCTGCAGGCAGACCGTAGAACCTTTGGCTAACATCCGACCTATACTTAATCTAAGACAGAAACTAAGCTAGAGCTTCTATTAAGTATAACTCTATAGAGATTAAATATATTAGTTAAATATATTAGTTAAATAAACTACAGATTCAGATTCCTGAGAGATTTCTTAATTTTATGGTTTTTTTAATTCTATCTAGCGACTATATTAAGAATATTAAGTCTTACGGCCCTTACCTGCTTAGGTCTTACCAGAAAGTAGACTAGGTTGTATCTATAAAAGATATATATCTTTACTTATAGAGAAAAAATATAAACTTAGCCTAAGGCAGCACTGATAAAGGGTTATTATATAGCTAGATTGGTCTATAGCCAGGCTGAGCCTACTGCGACCTGTGTACCCTTTTCTAAACAATATACTTTTCTTTTACTAAAGATATCCCTACGGCTTACTTTTTAATAGGCGTCTACTAAACAATATATACAGTAAATCCTAAATCCTTTATATCCTTATTTTAAGTTATCTATAATATACTAATTAAAGGGGGATAAGGGATATAGTAGCCTGTATGTATATTAGGCCAGATATATTCTGACTTCTGAGCTTTCTAAAGCTTTATCTCTCAGTATACTAGCAGAAATACTCTCAGACAGAATAAGCAAGGTCTCTATTATACTTTAGATAAAATAATAGTATATAATTAGCCTATATTTACCCTCTCTGCTCTGACTATTTTCTAATAAGCATCAGTGTTATAAGTACGGCTGCCCTAGCCAGTAAGACTATCTTTCAGCGGAAAGATCAGGTCCTGCTATACCCTAGCTGGTAAGACTATCTTTTAGCAAAAAGATTAGGTCCTGCTATACCCTAGCCGGTAAGGCTATCTTTTGGCGGAAAGATAAGGTATAGCCTGGTTTATAAGGCTATCTCTTCTAGGCAGCTTATAACCTACTTAGATTCGTAAGTAATATCAAACTACCCTAGCCAATAAGATTATCCCTGCTATACTGACTAAGATAGCTACTATCTAAATAGTAAATTAGTAAGCCTGAGTAGTAAATATATTACCTTTTAGATAAATATATCTCTGGTTGGTATACTTCCTATATATAAGGCTTTCTTTTTGGTCTCTGTCTAATAACTGCCAGGATTACCAGTGTTACTATTACTATATAGATATCTCTTGCTACCGCCGCTGCCTAGGAGATTATCTTTTAGCAGAAAGATATAGCCTAGCCTAGTTTACAAAGTATCTTCCCTTCTGTCCTAGGTTATGCCTTCCTTCTCTATAAGACTTCTACTTTAGGTATACCTTCCTTATTTGCTAACTTCCTCTTTTGGCTGTTAAAAGCTAGCTAATTAAAAGCCCGTACAGAATATAAGATCTTCTTTTACTATTATTTTAAACTTAACTTCTTTAAACTTCTTCTTTTTATCCTAATTTCTTTTATCTCTTTCTGGCAAGATATATTCTTCTTTAACGATTTTAATCCTTTTAAAGACCTTCGAAGCTATTCCTTGATATTCTTTGTTTAAAAAGGATACTTTAATATAGCCGAAGACGCTATAGAGATAGATCCTCTAGAATACAGTAGTAACAGTTCTCTTAGCAGCACTAATAGCCAGATCAGCAAAACCACTACCAGCCGTAAAACCACTAGCCGCAAAACCACTAGCCATAAAGCTGCCAATACCCGCCGTATTATACCCTAGAAGAAGATATCTCTTATACTTTGTCCTTCTGCTTCTATATCTGCTTCTAAAGCTCTAGCAGTATTAATAAATCCTCTGGTTTCTAATCCTTCTAAAACCCTGGGTATTCTTATCGTTAGCGATAAATATTTTCGAAATACTCAGGAGCTATTCGATTAGCTTGAGAAATTACCAAAGACTAATATATATAAAATCGTCAATAACGCCTATAATATTACTTTTGAATATATCGGCAGTATTAAGTAAGCTTTTACTGAGCTTTATAAATAGGCCCAGCAGCACTAAGTCTATAAGGGTATATATAACGCTTAAGAGTTTAAGAAAAAGTAGGCTAAGGTCTACAAGATAGCCTAGTATCGTACCGGCTAGTAGAAGTTTATATAGAATACTCACGCTAGGGTAATTAAGAGATAGGGCAGGCCTGAGACAGAGGCTTTCTTTATTTATCTAAAAATAAAGGTAATATATAATCAGCTTAGTAAAATACTTACCGCCGGCCTTACTTTTAAGGATATATACAATATAGTTAACAATACTATAGTTAAATATATTGGCAACAAACAATATAGAAGCCGTAGCTACAAACAGATTATATAGGGTAATCTTAAGAAGGTTACTATTCTGAAAAACTTCAAAAAGCCAAAGGTACATAGGATCTAACAGTACAGGCTATAGCTTAGTTAAGATAGCTTTTATTATAAAAAAGATAAGGGCATTAAGCCAAAGGACAAAGATAACAACCCAGCCTAAGTAAGCAATAGCGACAGTAATACTACCAAGACCCCTATCTCTTATATTATAACTATTTTCCCTAGCCTATCTCCTAATCCTAATATTAATATAGGGAATACCGCCAATACTACCAATACTACTAATACTAAAGTTGTTAATAAGCCTGAGGATACTGAAATAAATAATATCCCCCCTCTTTTCGTTAACTCCTATAGTATACAGTATATAGCCTACTCCTTCTGCCCTAGTCCTATTATATAAGCTACCTACTCAGTATATATATATTATTGTCTATAGAAGCATAAACCGTATAATACTAGCCGCTGCTAAGGCAGAAGATCTTCGTACGAGACTTATTATACTACAGAAGATTAGTAAAATAATCTACCCAGAAGATCAAATCAATAATCAAAGCCTTTATAAGGATTATACTCTCAAGCTTTTTAAGCTGTTCAAGATAAACGCTATAAGCAAGAGCCACCAATAGCTTACTAAGAGAATTAATTATCTGTATCGTTATATAGATAAATTCAATAATCTTCTTAAGGATAAGTCCTCCTGGTTTTCTCTGAAAGTTAAGCTTATAAACAACAACTA